GCAGCTGCCTGGGGCAACTGTGCCTGCTTTATCTACAGATGACTCCAAGCCAAGCCTGTATGTGGTTCAGGCTGTGGGCCAGCAGCCCTCACGCCTGACTTTCTCCCCTGAGGTGCTGTGGCCCCTCCCACTTTAGGACAAAACTGGTTGGGAAAGTTGGACTGTGGTCTCTGCACAGTTGTAATGAGTACAGCCCTCAAACTTTTCAAAAGAAAAAGAAATCTGGCAAACTATTAAAATACAAATCAAAAGCTTTCTGAGGCCCAATGGGGTCTTTTTTCAAGAGGTACAGGCAGTTCTGGAAGCAGCTTGGAGAGCAGGCAAGGAAAGGAGGTGGAACCAACATGTCCCACTCAGCACTTAACAACAAAATCGAGCTGCTCTGAGGCAATTAAGGAGAACACAAAGACTCCAGCAAGCGAAAAACCTGAGAGCACAGGAGGAGAACAGGACAAAAAAGAACTGGGAGGGCTGGGGCCCAGCAGCAGGTGTGTGCGTCCATGCCTGAGCTGGTCAGTCCCTCACATGGCCTTCCCCGTTGAGATGGGCAGAGTGGTCAGATGCCAGCCTGACATTCACAAGTGTCCTGCTTCAGGAATGGTCTTTGGGCATCAGGGAATTCAGCTGATGGCCTAAGGATCTACTGTCTAAGAGGGATTCCTGCCTGGTGCTTAGCTCTCAAATCCATCACTCTTCAGCCCAGATCTATTCTTCACCACCACCACTGTGGCTAGATGCAGGAGAAATGCAGTGAGACACAACTAATGCTCCCTGCTTATGTGTTCCCCATAGTCCACAGGACAGGGCACTCCTGCCAGAACCTTCTTCCTGCTCCTTTTGTCCCGGTGGGAGAGTTCCAAGCTCTGTAGCCCACTGGAATCTCCTGGGGAGCTAAAGCACCAGTGATGCCTGGGTCGAACTCACAGGGAGTCTGACCTCCAGAGCCTGAAGACTGGGGCTTCAGGTAGCTCCACAGGGACTCTACTGGGCAAACAGGGCGAGAACCACTGCTCTGAGTCTGAGATGCAGGTACACCTCCTTTTGGATGAAGGTCCTGAGGACCATACAACTGTTTGCCCAGGGACAGGGAGACGGGGAAGGGGGATCTGAATTGAGGAGGCCTGGAAGGCAGCTCGCTGTGCTGGGGAATGAGCAGTCAGCAGCCAAGGTGCCAGTCCTCTAAATCCAAGTTTCCTCTATTGTAGGGTATGTTGCACAAGTGACCAATTTACTGATTTTTAAAATGAGAACTTGTCCATTTCACTTCAGTGTGGCTGGCCTGGGCTCAATAGACCAGAACAAGTAAAACCAAAGAGTAAAGATGATCTAGTGATTAGAGCAGTGGGTCTCACCTCCAGCGTGCATCAGAATCACCTGCAGTGTTGGTGAAAACACAGCTGTGGCAGGGGTCGGGGGTGGGGGGTCCTTCCCCAGGCTTTCTTATTTAGGTCAGATGGATCCTGGGAGTGTGCATTTGTAACATGTTCTTGAGTTTGCTGCTGCTGAACAGTGGAGGACTGAGAACCACTGTGTTTGACTGTTTCACGAGCAACTCAAGGAAATGACATTTCCACCAGTAGCCATTTATGTGTAGTTATAGAAATGTGGTCATCCTCAGCCGTTCTTTCACGTGTAACAACAGGAAACTTAATGAAACAGGAAAGCACCAGGCAAAACTTGAGGTATTGGATCAATTCAGAACAACGCTACAGGATAGCCTGAAACATTGGGAAGTATGACACGTTTTCCTCCTCTGCTCCCTTCTTTTTAACATTTGCTTGAAAGCACTGGACTTGGAGAACACCACAGTACTTGATGAAATGATGTATGTAATTTGCCCTGAGAAAATTCATTCAGCTTCTGGAAGTGCTTCTCTGAGCAAGTCTAGCTATCTGGATGAAGGAATTTAACAAGTCATGGTCTCTTAGTTTGTGAGTAAAGTTCTGTCAGGAATTGTAGCTAGAAAGGTTATTAGGGAGACAGTGTTGGCAGATGGCTTTGCTAAGAGCTAAATTCAATAAAGAAGAAAACTAGTATTTCATAACATCTGTTCTTCTCATGCAATACATTTTGGGGTGTCCCTAGAGTGAATTCAATCTGCTTCAGCAATCCAGAAAATAGTGATGCAGAAGAGAGAACATCAGTTTTTTAAACAGGCAATATTGCTGATTCACCCAAACAGTGCTAGATAGGCGAGCAAATCGCTTCTTTTTCTACTCTCTTCTGTCTCAGAGGTACTCAGTAACCTGCCATTAGAAACAAACTAGCAAATTACTAGTCACATACCTGTTTCTCAGGTTTTGTTTTCTGTGGGGCTTTTTGTTTGTTTAAACTTACTTACAGAGATAAGGTCCTTCTCAGAAAAGCCAAAAAATAATGCCTTTCCCTAAAGGAGGGGACTCAAGATCAAAGCATCTGGAGTCCAAGTTTGTACATTAAGAGATGTTTTAATAATTTCCCAGTTTTTCAGAGCTCTTTATCTCTGTACCTTTGGATTCAACTCAAGAGAAGATTAATCCATATATCTGCAGAGTTAGATTTCTACATCAGAATTGCTTACTTTTACTTAACTGTGAAAAATGGCCTTAAAAGATGTCAAGGATTCAAAATAAAATCTTTTTTTTAAATGGGAAAAATCCTAGCCTTGATTTTAAAAGTATTTCTGTGCTCTGCTGTTGTTTTAAGACCTGAGAATTGAACCCAGAGCCTTGAAAATGGTCAGCAATCCTCTACCGGTGAGTTATACCCCAGCCCCAATTTCTCTGATTATTAACACACTTACTTGCTGATAATGAGTGTTTCCTCTCCATTAATCCAAACTCTCATGAATTCTCCATACATCTGGTTGTAGTAGTTGCAGGCACTGCCGATCCCCATCCACAGGAATCTGCCATGGGAAATGAGGGGCCCAATTCCCAAACAGTAGCCAGGACCTAGGAGAGTCATCAGAAAACATAATCAGCATCTCTGCAACACCAAAAATACTTGTTCTTTTCATCTAAATGTTCTTTACGTCTTCTGCGGTTTATCTGTGAATCAGTAACAAAATGATTTACAAACACGAGAACAAACCAAGCTTGACAAGAGACTCCTCACCCCTCCACAAGTGAAAAGCGTCCAGTAGCCACATCACACTAGCTCTCTTTTCTCAGTCATTTCAGGCTCAGTGACCTGGGGATGTGTACTCATTTCTTCCCAAGTTAAACAGTGTCAGTGCATTTCAAACACAAGTCCTTAGGTCTGTGTGGTAACAAGTGAGAAAACCATGAAAAGTGTCAAACTGACAGAATTGTTTGAGTGCTTTTGCTTTAAATGCCCTGCTGATGGAATGAATGGATGAGAACTGGGCTGCTTTGGAGTTATCCGTTTAACTGTGAGAAAGCAGGTCTGCAAAGATAATGTCCAATGTGAGAATCAATCTCTCTGCCTCTCTCTCTCTCTCTCTCTCTGTCTCTGTCTCAGAACTCAGCTTAAAAACAAACACCTAAAGGTCAAGTGGCAAAATAAAGCTAAGGAATTAGGCACTGAGTAAGTATCTGGACTACTGTTTGAGTCTAGAGACCTAGTTCTAGCTCAGTGCATGGCTAGTTACAACCAGTGGCGGACTGCAACAGTGTCAGTGTACCAGGTGTCCTGGTACATTCCGCCTTCTAGTCCCAGCTTGGGAGGCTGGGGGGAAGGAGGTAACTCTGAGTCCTGAGCATTGAGCCCAGCCCAGGCAAACTTCTGACATCAGTCTCTTAAAAAAAAAAAAAAGCTTGGCACACATAAAAATTATAAAAGTAAAAATCTTTTTAAAAAGTATGAGGGCCGGGATTTAGCTCAGTGGTTTCGCCGCCTGCTGTGCAAGCGCAAGGACCCAAGTTCGATCCCCGGTACCAAAAACAATAAATATATAAATAAAAATAAAAAATAAGTATGAGTGGAGATTGCAATAAACCGTGGGCTTGGGTTGAGAACATGGATGTTCTAACAGAGGAGAACCGTGGTTTGGGTCCTTAGTGAGCAATCGTAAGTCACCTTTGTCCAACAAACATTTGTCAAGACCCTACTAGATATAGACACTGACTCCAAGATAGGGACTTGAGATCAACAGTAGAGAAATAATTCCCATTGCATTGAGCTTAAGCTGCTCTCTGCCTCTCAGATTTGGGAATGCTTATTTAGGCATGCAGCAATTACCGTAGCCTCTTTCACACCCAAAGAGGTAAATCCTTCACTGCATTTTTGTGCAGACACAGCCTTCTTGAAGACAACTGCTGGGATCTCTCACCTACAGTCCCAATCAAGAAGCTGGTTCATTCCACATCTCCGTGTCCACCGCACAGAAACCTGAGTCCACATGTGTTCACAGCAGCACTGTCCAAAATAGACCGGACACAGGCTGGACACATCCGAGTTGCCCCTCAGCACAGAACTGTAGGTGTTCATGAAAGACCACATGACAATATCAAGACCGCATGACAATGAAAATGAGCTACAGCAGCATGCCACAATCACAGTGTGGATGAATCTAACACAACACTGAGTAAAAGAAACAAGAGAGAAGAATAAGCAATGCATGATTTGATTGCCGAAATCTTTTAAATGAGGCAAATTAAACTATATTGTCTGGAGATGTGAAATTAGGTGGCCAACCAATAACCAAGCCAGAGGGATTGTCACAAAATCCAGGAAGCGATTCACATCTCGGGGTGAGGGAGAGAGCAGCCTGAGAGGCACAAGGAGCATCTCCAGGACTGCTATTAACATCCTGTTTCTTGGTCAGGATTATGGTGGCAAACCTGGCGTCACACTGCACTTTGCTGTGAAATGCTTCCTTAGTAGGAAAAGGGGAACATGTTGCCATGTCCTCCTCCGGGGTTCCCCCTGTGGGGATGTGCTGCCAGGCCCGAGTGTGGCATCCAGAGGCAGAGGACCCAGTTTCAAGGTTGGGATGGGGGTGTGACTTCAGGGGAGGGAGAGCTGCCAAGTGCCCAGTTATGTGCGTCCTGGACAAAGATGAGTGCAGTTGGGGCATTTCTCCCACCTGAAGTCTACAACACCCCTTCCCATCGAGTGAGACACTCTCACCCCAGACTCTCCAGCCCGATAAACAGGGGTGAACAAGCTTCCATCTGAGTCCCCATTTTATTACAGATTAGTTGTGCAGCCCCTGCCTCCATTGAGCCTCAGGTTCTTCAATGAGAAAACAGGCACACACGCCGGCCTCAGCAGAGAAAACAGGCAGGAAACTGCCTTCCAAACTGCAAGTGCAGGCTTTTTATTGCTGTCCCTTCTGTGTGCCCTTTGACTTTTAATGACCCTGAGCTATAATCCCGATAAAACCCAGAAGCCAAGAAGCAGTGATTCAAGGGACATAGTGGGAGTTCAGAAGACTAGACAGCAAGAACCACCCTACCAAAACGACTTTCCTCTTATCACCCCACCCAGGAACTGCAGGGACTTAGTTTGTGCCCCTAGAGGATGCTGGCCAGACCCCAGATTTTCAAAGTGAAAGGAAGCTAGAAACTCCCTGGCCAGCAAAATGCTCATCACCCTGGGCCTGAGGACGAGCTGGTGGTCCCTTTGCTCTTGTCCTCGTTCCTGCTTGGGTGCTGACAAGGCATCTCTCTTCTCTGCACTTGAACCCCTCACTCTGAACCCCCAGCCTTCTCATGTCACAGCAGATCTCCTCCGTGGGTCTGTTCCCCTGTGTCTCAGATGAAGGTTGTGGGCTCATCTCTGTGGCTCCCAACCCTGTCTTCTAGGAAAAACCCTCTGGGAAAAGTTTTTTAAATATCGACCTGGGGGCCTTCTAAGAACTCCAGATTCTTAGACATGGCCAAGCGCCACTGTAGTATATGTATGTGATCTAGTTGACACTATGTGACAGCATGACGTCCTTGCCCAGAAGTGGTGGACAGGGGAGGGGTGGCCTCCCCTCCCAATCCCAGCCACTCCTCACGCGGGGCTCCAGAGCAGTGCCACCAGAGCTTGCAGCATAAGCATCTGGGGATGGGGAGAGTGGGTCTTTGAACAAACAACAACAACAAAAACGGACGTTCCTGGGCCTGGAGCATCTGATTCAAAATTCTGGAGCAGAGCCCAGGAGTCAGGATAACCAGCCCCTAGCTGCAAGGTGATTCTTATTCTAAAAGTTTGAGAACCTCTGGCTTACTCCTCCTATGGGCAGTGCTGACTTCCATCTCCTTGTGAGATCCTCTGATAATACAGGTAGATTGGACTTTAGCACCTGAGCCTGTGATAGGAAAGAGAAGGAAGAAGCATTCTACCACCTCCTCCACCCTTCTCTACCCTGACATTCATTGACCCTGACTGAAGAGTCCACTGCAGGGAGAAGACCTTGATTGAGGAACATGAGCAATGGGAAAAGGAGTTCAAGTCAAAGATGATGAACAGTTTTCTCAAACCTGTGCTTCCTTCTCCAGAGATGACCCCAGGGAGGTCATTTACTACATAGTGCATTCCACTAAGCATTCAAAGAACCTATACTTCCAGGCTGAGTCCAGCAGACAGGCAGTGTTCTTGAAATGTCTTGGAAGAATCCTGCCAGAGAGCATTTTGTACCAGGCTCTGCTCCCACACCCAATCGCCCTATCCTAGACACATAGACGTGTCTAATGAATATGTTCTTGCAACAAGGCTTATGGGATTTTATGGAAGTGGGAACAGGTGATTGCCGTGAGGGATGGACACCGAAAACTAAAGGAACAGTCTGAAATTTCTCATAATTGAGAACCAATCTGATACCAAGTAATTCCAGCTGTAAGAGTGGAAAGTTAGGGAATAATCTGTGTCATTATGTTATTCCCCACTTTTGACTGACCCACAGGGCTGGCTGAAGATTCCTTTGGGGTGTGACTTCCCAAGGGAATGGAAGGGACCCCCACACTTCTCCCACTGCCCAGGTCCCATTCGACCCTGTGACGATCCTGCCGTTGCCACACTGGTGCTGTGAGAAGATGAAGAGTGAGATGAAGAGAAGGAATATATACAAGAACGGAAGAGCGGGTCAAGGCAGTGAGGGAGGAGAACACAGTGGGATAGAAGACATCCCAAGACATTTCCGCCTGTTTGAATCTTTTACAAAAGTTTTAATTCCCTAGAATTTTATCTTGCTTCACCCCAACTGAAGCTGTGCTAAATCTACCAAAGTGCTGGAAAGACAGGAAGCAGTTTTCTCAGACATTTTAAAATGTGTAGATAATTGGGACAGGTTTTTAACCTAATTCTCATTTTGCTATCGTGGCTGTGATTTTCAGAGATCTTACCAGGTTTGCTTTTGTACTTTTGTCCAATTTTCCTTGTCATCATTGACCAAATGCCCATGTAAACAACATCCTTAAACACAGAAATAAACAAGCAACTGACCTGGAATTGAGGCTGTGCTGTCACAGTTCCAAATCAAGAGGAGAAAGACCACAAGCAGCAGGATTGGCATGGCAGCAACAGGCAGGACTTCGGGCACCATGCTGGCGACGTTACAGTGTATTTGGTTCAGCATTTCCAAAACCATGCTGCACTGCTGGGCATCAGAGGCAGTAGTTTACTGTTCTGTGGAAATCAAGAGGCACAAAAGTGAGAGAACCCTTATCAGGTTTCTCTGTGGCTCCTGTTGCTTCTGAGGATCCTGTGCTTTATAATGCAATAAGGCAAGACAGATATGCAGTTGCAAGTCAAAACAAGCAAACCCCAAACATCCTTTGGCTTGAATTCCCATATTTCTGTCCTTGGTAGTCTCAGGTTTTCTTAGCCGCACAATGTGATAGAAGTTTATCAGTTTGCCCTTGAATGGGTATAGTGACGTGCATTTGCAGTTGAGACCTGAATCACTTACCAAAATATAAGAAAATGAAGCCCCTTTCAGAGGAGAAATCATTTTGTGACTTTTATCAGCTGATTTTGGTAGGAAGTCTTATTGTCTTGAAGACAAATCAATTAAAGAGCAAAAGTAGCAAATTAGAAATGACTTTCCCTGATCAACATACTTCCCCAATATTAAGTTCCTGCGTACTTCTCTGAAATTGTTGGATGTTCTCAGAGCGTGGCACTGAGTTGTCTATGAAATTCAACGTGAGAACAGGACAGTGTTTCCCCAGTGGCTTTTATAGGGATCTACAATCTCTTGCACCATGGGCTGAATTTAGCAGTCTCCATGGGGGTTAACATCAGAATTAGAAGGAGCAAAATAGAAAGAAAGGAAAAGAATAAAGAGAGGGTAGAACAAAAAGGAATTGGAGAGAGGTAGACAGAGCGCAGGGTATGTCATTGACAGCAGGATCAGGTGGCACTCAGCAGCCCCATTGCAAAATCAGCTAACATCCTGTGCAGGACAGTTGCTGTTCAGCTTGATTTGCTGGTTGCAATGTGTTTCTCCTCAACAGTGTGCTGTTGTGTATATCTATTCAGTGAGGTTTTTCAAATTTATACTATCAGAAGAGAGTTTCATGGATGATAGAAGCGTATGTTGAATAAACTTGTAAAATAGTGAAAAACCACTATTCAATGTGTTTTCCAAGGGCACCTGACATGCTTGGAGGTTTGGCTTTTCTTAGAACATGCCCAAATATGGGGGACTTGCCATAACTCTGAACAGGATTTAGCTGGGTTTTACCAAATAATAGAATTATATATTCATACATAGGGCTTCTAATTGGATGTCAGGTCTCTGTGAATTCACTGAAGTGCTGCCTGACATGTCGTTCATGCTGGTGCACTTTGGAGGGGAGAGAGGCTAGAACTATTATCACATTCCTAAGAAGCGTGTAATTATATCTCTCTGATCTATATGAGATTAACAGTGTCCAAAGACTAGGCTTTTTTTGTAGCTACAGGAACTTCACATTATAGGTGAATTTGGTCAGTTATTTCATTTTGTTGATTCATTCTATTATTCCACCATTTAAATAACTATTAGCTTTTAAGTGCCAGGCTTTAAAAATGCATGCTTATGTTGGGCCATTTTGTTGTGCTGCTGAGACTGAACAGTCAGCATTGAATCTGTTCTCATCTGGCTTTGCTGTTAATGAGTAGCTACTTTGGAGAGGTTCAGAGTGTTTTAGAGTTTTTACAAAATGTTTATGGCTTTTTATTTTTTAATTATATTGGTATACTTTTGATATACATAATAATCACATTTATTGCAGAAAATTTCTGCCTGTACATAATATATCGTGATTCATTTTTCCCTTTCCCTTCAACTCTTCTTCCCCTCCTTAATTATTACTGTTTTGTTTCCATTTTTTTTAATTCTCCTTTTTTTCTTTTCCTTTCCTCTTTCCTCCTTTGTTTCCTTGTTGTTTCATCCTTTGTTCCTCTTCACATTTGAACATTTTCTTCCTACTTTCCAATATTCATTATCCATTTTGGTCTCTATTTACCCTTTTGGTTCTTCATACAAGAGAAACACTGTGATATTTAAACATGTGCTGATTTCTTTCACTTAAAAGCATACTCTCGGGGTGCATCCATTTGCCTAGAAATATCTCAAGTTCATTCTTAATGACAGAGTAGTACTCCATTGTATATAAAAACCATATCTTTATCCATTCATCTGTTGACAGGCATTTGGGCTGCTTCCAAAATTTAGCTATCAGAAATTGTGTTTCTGTAAACATGGATGTGCAGGCACCAGTGGCCCTGCTGGACCCAGAACTTGTTGCGTGGACTCAAGCAGCAGCCCCACTGGACCACACCTTGAGGGCCTTCCAGTATCTGAGTCCTCACAGCAGGGGTGCCACGGGGGAGCACCATAAAACCCATGGTTATGAGCCCCAGAAGATAGAGCAGAAGTGAACAACAGAGAGGGCCTCTCTGAGGCTCCTCAATGAAAATTGAAGCCCACTGGGAAAGTGAAGAAAATCTCTTCAATAAAAGCACACTGGACCATTGTGGTTGGTAAGTTGGTGGGATCAACAACTCTCATAGAAACCTGGACTCGCTTAGGTGGGAGGACAGCTGGAACCTTGCAGAGTTTAATCCTGCAGGAGGTCAGGAAACTCAACTTGGGCCTTGCAGCCAGAAATCAGCCTGAATCTCAATAGACTACAGCTGGCTTGCTGAGACTAATTGATGTAGACCTGTGCACTGCTACCCACATTGTCTACCAGGACCACAGAGACATATCCTGAGGGAGACCTTTTTTATAAATATTTTTTTCTTTTCTTTTACACTCTCTCTCTTTCTCTCCCTTCTAGCTCTGTATTTCTCTCCCTCTTTGTTCCTGTTCCTGTCCCATTTTGAATTGTTTCTCTCTCTTTCTGTACTCTCGACTGTCACTGTTATAGGAATGTGAATACAATTTCTAGCTTCCCTGTTGTTGTCAGTTTGTTCTGCACTTGTCCCTGTTCTTTCACTTGGTCTTTTCCTCCTGTCTTCAACAGATTCCCACAATTTGCATGATCTTCCTGTGTCCTCTAGCCTCACCTCTAACCTTTCCTTCTCCTCTTTATCCCTCCCTCCTCAACCCCTTCTAAATCCTTATCCTGAAGTGTAAATTTGCCATATTGAAGGGTTTATTTACTACAAAGATATTTTGGGCTGACCCTAGATTTTGATCTAGCTCATTCCGTTAAAGGTGACCGATTAACTGCTACCACAAATTGTCATTTTCTAAGCTGCGTTTCATGCTATTGTTGATGCTGATTGTGTCAATTGGGCTAAGGTGTCATGATTGATCTGATCAGTTGTCCTCCCTGGTATACTGAAAACAAGATTGCCTAAGAGTCATTAAAGACTCAAAACCTAAAAAGTCCAGCTATACCTGGAAGATATCTCTAAGAAGCAATTGATCCATAAGGGCTCTAAACACTTAAACTCTAAGCCCAGGAAGTAAACTAAAAAACAGCACCAACAACAAAATTAAAAATGAGAAGACACCTTAGCAAGACACAAACCCAGACTTCCAGCTCACCAAGGACAAATTCTAGGAGAAATGAAGTGGAAAAACATGATAATCAACCACCTGGACACCCTGAACTGATAGCACAGGAAATAACAAAACAGATGAATGAGGCTCTAGAAAAATTCAAAACAGAAATAATTTCCCAGATAACTACAGAGATGGTGTGCAGAATGAAAGACATGATTAGAGACTCTAGAACAGAAACAGA